GGAAAGAGTCAGAGGTTTAGGGGTGGAAAGTTCAGTTCAGTATCAGGTCTCTTTATTAGCTTATCCTTCTGGGTTGGAGAAATGTAGTGAGCTGGGTGGTGCCCATGCTGCCCACCCACAGCACTGAAGGTCAGGTTATCCTGTGCCATGGGCAGGGCACAGGTAATAGGTAAAGGAGAGTCTTTTAACTCAACCCGAGTCAAAACCTGGACTTTCTGGAGCAGGAGAATTTGATTCCAGCCTCTGCTGTGCCATGAAGTCCCAGCCCTGGGATACAGACTGGCCCCAGCCATGGAGTCTTGGTTGCTGTGGATTTGTCACAGTGCTCTTTGCTCTGGCTAAACTGGTGCTTTTGTCACATTTTACAGTCTACAGGGTGCCAAGGAAGGAAAATGAGTTAATTCAAAAAACAATTTTACTGGAAGATTACTCTATAAATAAATTCCAGAGATAAGTGAAGTAAAATATTAGTGGAAGATGAAAGTAAGGAGAGAGATGGAAACAAGCAGATGTAAGCAGTGACTGTGGCCAAGTGCTCATATTGATAGTAGAAGGCCTTTTGTCACCAGGCCTTCTTTGGTGAGCAGCCCTGAAAGGGAAAACTGGAATAACTCCAGGGAAAGAAGTTCTCAGAGTGCTGTTTGCCACTGCACAGAACAAAGTCAGCACTGGGCATCTTGGAGAGGCACTGGTGTATGAGGAGCAGGATGGAGAGGACAGGTCCAGGCAGGGATGCTGCCTGGCAGGAATCCAGCTGTCCTGCTGCAGAGGGTGATGTGTCCCAGCATGGGGGGTTGGGAAGGGACCTCTGGAGATCACCTCATCCAACCCCCCTGCTCCAGCAGGTCACCCACAGCAGGGTGCCCAGGATCACATCCAGACAGAGTTGGAATCTCTTCAGAGGAGGAGATTCTACAACCTGAGAGAAACTTGCTGGTTCTTTTCCCCTGAAGTTAAAGCCCCTGTAAACCCAGGGGCCTGGGATAGACAGAGGGAAGCTAAGTGTGTCCAGGAAAACCTGGCTCAGATGCTGTGGAGTAGTTTCCTTGAAAGAACAAGTGAGGTGACTCCTGATTTGGGTCTGGTTTTAGCCTCTGGTTTCTTAGATGAAATTAATGATTTAGGCTCTTTTGTTCCCCCTGTCTGAAGCTGTGTCAAGGCTGGAAGCTCCTCCCTGTGTCAGGCTGTGTTGCTAATGGAGTTTTTCCTTTATTTCAGCAACAGCGCACGGTTTACAGGCTGACACTGGTCAAAGCTTGGAATGTGGATGAACTCAAAGCCTATGCTGACCTCATATCCCTTGGCAAACCAGACTTCATCGAGGTCAAGGTGAGCTGCACAGAGTTGGTTTTTTTTTTCCCCCCCTCAATATTTTACTTTTTTCCCCTCCCCATTTCCCCCCCCACACCCCATTTTTAAACTTGTATGAGTAAATGCAATTCTTCACAGGATCTCAGTGGTGCATAAAGAACTTCTCTTGTTTTTAAAGTGAGGCAGACAACTTTTTAATATTTTGTGGGTGCATTTGGAACAGTCTTTAATGTGACGTGTGACTTTGTACCAGCCAGCATCAATTTCTGCTCAACAGAATCAGAACCCTTTGGTCTTTTTCTTATTTCCAATGAAAGCGGAGACTGACAAATAGATGTTCCTCCTTTTATGTCAACCAACCTTTTAACCAAAATATTCTGGGACAAGCTGGTAGTTCATGGTATTATTCTTCCCATCCTGGCCTGAAATTCTGCTGGGGGAAAAGGTGATAAAGTCTGGCTTACTGGTGTGGTGTTTGTCAGGCTGTGCAGAGCAGAGGGAGATGCTACCCTCTGGGACTGAAAATGCTACTAAAAGGAGCATGTGAGATACAGCAGGGCAGGAGGTGCTTTATCTTAGGATTAATCAATTAAGTATACAGAGAATGCAAAAAAAACCCCCCAGATTACAAGGTGTTCTGTCAAGAATCCCTATCAGCATTTTCACCCAGCAGCTCCTCTGTGGATGAGCACTTGTATCTGAGGTCTGTATTTTTGCAGCCCTGTTGCTTCTCGGCTTTCTCTTTCCTTATTTCTTCTCTTTCTTTTTATTAACCTTTATTTACTGCTGCTTTGAAGGGGGGGAAAAAAAACCTTGGAGTGAGTTGCAATTTCCTTATGAACCAAACCCCAACGGTTTTGCTGTTATCAGTACTGAGAGGTCTCGTTCTCTCTGAGAGTGCTGGAGTTGATAGCTGAAGACAAAACAAGACTTTGAGTATGGTTTAGGGAAAAAAGCCCCAATTCCACAGTGTGTATCAGCCTGCTTTGTATTCCTGTGGTAAAAACTGGCAGGAGGAGGGCTCCCATGGGACCCTTCCCACCCTGCATCTCCTGACTCTTTTACTGCATGAGCCTGGTGGTGCACATGCTACCTGGCCTGCTCTGCCATGTGTAGCAACATTAATTAGTAAAATCAATCAGGTGTAAGTTAATGTTTCTGAGCAGAGTCCCCCAAGTTCTCTCAAGGGTGAACATCTGTCTCCTCCAAGGCAGAGAGCTGCTCTGCCCTTTGCCTGGGGAAGGATTCAGCCTCATAGTTGTGGTTTCCCAGCAGAGTGGAGCTCGGCTCGCCCAGTGGCTCCTCCCTGGCAAAATCATGCCTTGGACTGCCAGGGAAATAGGTGAGAAAAGAGGTGGTTGGAGATGTACTCTTGGCACTCTTCTAGCTGGGACAGGCCACTGCCCACACTGCTTCAGTCACCAATGTCACCTCTGCACTCCACGTGCTCCAATGTTCACATGCTTGGCAATATTCCCACAGGTGAGTGAAGCTCTGCAAGTGCTGGAGGACAGAACTGTTCACTGGGGTCAGATCATGGTGTCCTCAAGATAACAGGCAGAACATCTTGTGCCTCAGTTTCTTCCTCTGTGAATGACTTGCTGCCTCCACTGTGGCCCCAAAAGCAGTCTGTAGTTGTTAGGTGGAAAATCTCTTGCCTTTCCAAGACCAAGAGGAACACTCAGGGACACAGGGAAGCTCAGGTTTAAGCCTTTTGAAAGGGTGCAGCATCTCTTGTCTCTGCTAGTTGCTGTACTTAAGCTGGGAGTGATGGGGCAGATTTTTCCTTCCTGGTCACAGCTCTCATTAAAAACAGCACAGCATTTCATGAGTTCATTGAGACCTGTATCCTCAAAAGTCAAAAAAGTCTTCTGCAGTTTGTTCTTCGTTTCCAGTCTAGTGGAGGAGGATGACTTTCCAAAGCTCTCAAAACCATACAGAGACTCTGACAGCAGCTAAGCCCCACAAAGACAGAAACGAGCAGCTGACTACAGGAAAACACACTAATTCCTTTTCAGCTTCAGCAGCAGAAATGAATTGCCAGGGCACTGCTCCACCTTGCTCACCATCAAGCTCTGAAGTAGTCACCATTTTTTTTTTTTCCCCATTTATTTGAGTTTTTAAATAGAACTGTGCTGTCCTGTTGTCTTAATTCTGAAGACAGGAAAACAGGGTTCCTATACTTGTTCTGGAGTGGCTGATAAACCACTCCAGTTGTGCTGCTGCAGGACAGTGAGAGTCCATCCAAGTGCCTAAAGGAGAGGCTGACAAAGGGGATGTCACCTTGGCATCCTTGGCTTCCTTACTTGGCTGTCCTCTGAAGTGCTGGTTGATTGCTGGGGGGGGTGGTGTGCCCCCCACACTGCTGGAGGTGTTTGGGTGGCTGCTGTGCATTCAGAGCCTTTCTCTGTGGTCTGACCTAATGAATGTCATAGAATCACAGACTGGTTTGGCTTGGAAAGGACCTTTCAAGGTCATCCGGTCCAACCCCCCTGCAGGGAGCAGGGACATCTGCAGCTAGAGCAGGGTGCTCAGAGCCCCATCCAACCTCCCCTGGAATGGTTCCAGGGAGGGGGCAGCGACCACCTCTCTGGGCAGCCTGGGCCAGGGGCTCACCACCCTCAGTGTCAAACATTTCTTCCTTTCTCTCTAGTCTACATCTCCTCTCTTCTAGTTCCAAACCAACACCTCTCATCCTGTTGCAACAGGCCCTGCTGAAAGGTCTGTCCCCAGCTTTCTGATCAGCAACCTGTTCTAGCTGCAGATGTCCCTGTTCACTGTGGGGGGGGTTGGACTGGGTGACCTTTAAAGGTCCTTTCCAACCCAAAACATTCTATGATTCTGACAGGCCCCTTGAAATCCTGAAAAACCCCCAGCAGGTCTCCCCAGCTGGAGCCTTCTCCTCTCAGCTGCCCCAGCCCAACTCTCTCCTGCTGGGCTCCCAGCAGAGGGGCTCCCCCCCTCACACAATAAACAAAATCCTAAAAAACTTGTATTCCCTGGCCCCTGCCTCATACACCTGTGTGCACAT